GGTTCTTCTGGGCCAGTCATCATGTGTTCGGCTGGCAGCCTCCAAGCACGCGGGCGCCCAGGCAGATCGGCGCCTTGCTCAGTGTAATGTGGGAATCCGTGTTGCATGGACTCTGAGTCATCCCCCTCCCTTTCTCGCTTTCTCATTCCTGGGCTATATGTCATCATGTCTTTGCTTCGTCCTCCTTCCAACTCCCTTCTGAGCGCTGTTATGGCCCGATCTTGGTTAGCTATGATTCGAAACAACTCCCTCTTCGTCAGGGATTCCCCTTCGTCCGCCAACGGGCGCCCATGGCTACCCTCTCCTTCTACGTCCATACTCAACTCCTGACTTGGCTGACGCTCGCCTTCCCCGGGGTTCGAGCTCTCCGATCTCGGACTATCCTGCCCTTAATTTCCTTCATTCAGGTTCCAGGTTCTCCATGTGCCTAGTTGTTCTCCCCCCCCCCTATCTGGCGCGCTAATTGTTTGAGCCACGACCCACCAGTCTCGCCTATTCGGAACTTATGAGAATTAACCACCGTTGAGGCATCAGAACCCTGCACAAACAAGCGCTTAGCGGGCCTCTCGGTGCCCGTTAGCACTCCAACGCTTAAGTCAGTGCAAATTCTAGAGAGATAAGTGTCAAGAGAGATCTTAGTGAGAGAAGACAACCTGCGTAAATGCTACCTGCCGAGTACTATTTATACTCGTCGAGGTCCCGACCAGGCTCCTAGAATTCAGCTCCACGCCAGCGCGTCATTAAATGCTTGGTACGGCCCAACGCTCGACGCCTCCACGTGGCAGCTCCTGGACCCCTATGCATAGGCGCCTGGCAGGGACCACGCTACCAGGTGACATGCTCTCAGCCTCCTGGTCCCAAAGTTGCACGGTCCCCGCCTTACTTTTGTCGTTATGCACCCGCTCCTCCTTGTATAGGCCCAACTCCTAGTTTATACCTCATTCCTCATGCTCTCAAGTGGGCTTGGGCCTAGCTAGTCTCTATGGGCCCATGTCCCCCAATGGTTCACTTATGCTTACCCAACAACATACATGTATCACTAACTAATAGAGAAGTCCAAGCACAACAGCATAATTGTCTAATTCTTCTATAGTTGCTGTCTCGAATGTGTGAAGTAGTAGCTACTTGACTTGATGATGTTGCCTATGGAATTGTAAGAGGAGTTTCCAATTGATCCTTTGACTAACCGGGTCAAACCAATTTGGGATGGGATTGACCAAACCGATTAGGGGATGAACCCACCAAATCATATATTTCAATTCCATGAAGAGACATCCATTTGAATAAGTTACAATTACATTTTTATAGGTAATGACAACCTTATGAATAAGTACAACTTTTCATATGGATAAGGACAACCTCTCATGCGTACGGCGAATGATGCTACATGCGAACAAACAAATTCTTCTTCTTCTTCTCGCGGAAAACTTTTAAGTTTGCTGTAGCATTCTTAAGGCTAAAAACCAAAAGTGGTGATAATTTTATCTTTGGGACAAATTTTCTATAATCCAAGGCTTTATGGAGTGTGGAAATAATATTTTTGGAACTCTATCATAATTTTTATCATATTATTGCGGGCTATCGTACGTACACCCTCGTCCGAAAAGACCCAACAATGAGCACTTCTACTATGCTATATAGCATTGGTGCTTTAATGTACAACTCAAAGTTGTACTATAACATTAAATGTATAAGTTTAGGTTGTACCATAAAGCAATTTGTACCATTATGTTATGGTACAACTTTACAACTCGAAGTTGTACCATCACATAAAGGTACAAGTTCAAGTTGTACCATAAAAGAATTTGTACAAAAAGTATAGGTACAATCTAAAGTTGTACCATAACGTAGATGTACAATTTTAAGTTGTACCATAAAGGCAAAAACCTATAGCACCAATACTATATAGCATTATAAAATTTCTCCCCAACAATGGAAAAGAATACTCTCCCGTATGATGGCTCGAACTGCTCTTTACAAGAAATGGTTCCAGTCTATGGAAAATTTGAGAAATTTTGACAATGAGTATTGTCGTTGATGAACGTAGAAGATATGTTTCCTTCATACTACTCTCAAGGTGTATTTGAAATGTATACTAAATTTTCTTTATTACAAATTACATGTTTATCACATATCGAGATCGAAATGAAGGAAGCACTTAAGGAGAAGAAGTCGAGACACATATACATAAAAATATTATTGAAACATGCATAAATATCGCATGAACCAATAGAATAGACTATTTCCCATTAATAAATTTTGTTCCCCTCTAATTAAAGATAAAAAATAATTTAGTTCCCCTCTACATTACACAAGGTTATGGAACTATTCCTCATAGGATAGATCGATAGAATAGACACGCACTTTCTAGTATACCCGTACTTGAAACCCCAAAACCAACAAATGAAACCAACGGTAATAAGTCACACGACTCTATATTTGTATGCTTTTGTAGATATCCCATTATTAATTTACAAAAATTACAATTTCAGCACGCTATATTTTATTCACGAAAAATTAAGTGTATTCATGAAATGAAATATTTTTTCTCGCACTCTTATTTATCTAGTCTATATATTAATCAGTCAATATTTTTCACACACTCTTATACATTGCGTGAAAAAGAAATCATGTACGTGAATATGTGAATAATTGATAATGTTACGTGAAGACATAATCTTCGTACGTAAATGATGAGATGACTCCTTGTGAAATAATAAAAAAAATACTTTTTGTTTTCCTTCTTTTGGATGCATCATGCAACCTTTGCTTCTCGAAAGGAGCGGTTCTAGAGTGGATGATGCAATACAAAGGTAGGGTAGTAATGCTAATTAAGGAAGCCAGACAAACATATTTTCTTTCTTGAGCAATATTTTATATTTCCACATCCTTTTAATGTAGCTAATTATATTCTAATCAAGCCAATTTTAACGGGTAAAAATGGATTTACCTGAATGCAAGAATGTGACATCTGTAACACCCCGAATTTTGGGTTAGGTTCGACCGAATGTTTGGATCGATGATTACGTATGAAGCGTTGCGACCGTGGATTAAGAATAATAATAATAATAATAATATTATTTTGTTATGATATTATTTAGTCAAATAAAAACCCTAATGGAATCCAAACCATTCCAGCGGCCAACACTACTCCAAACTTCCATCTCTTTTTATTTTCCTCTAAATGGCGCTGCACGAACAACAATACCTAGTAAAGTTCCCTTTCATCTCTGCTCGCTCCCCATCACAAGCTTGGTTGGTTGCGGAAGGGATTTAACTGTCAAGGGAGCAATGGAATTGATGGTGGAAGCGAAAAGAACAAAGCGGCGTCCAAGGTACCTGTCCGTTTCCGCTCCATCCCTACTTCCGGTGGAACCACTTTTTCCATTATGCTTTTGTTCAGGCATGAATCCACGTGGAGGACATGATTAAGAGGCACAAAGAGTTGATTATATATATAAGGGTACGTGAATTGAAGATCAATTTTTCATAGTGGGTGACAGGTTCGGATTAGAATTGATGGGCTATGGGATTTTGGCACAACGTATGTGGAGATGGATAGGTCACGAGGCTGCGGTGATCAAGATGAATTAAGGGGAACGAGCTGTCAGGGCAATGATAATGGATGATAAGGCGAGTGTAAATGGGTAAATTCTACGCCTTACGTGTTCTTTCAAGAATTACAAGTCTTGAGTATTTCGATGAAGTGAATGTCGTTGTTTGATTGTACTTATGGTTGATGATATGTGATTTTGTTTGAGCTATGCTTGATGTGAATTTGCATGAGTTCTTATTTAAATTTAAGCTTTAAGTGTTTAAGTTATTGTTAAAGTTAAGAAACAAGTTTTTTTTAAGAAGTAACTCACCTTCAAGAAGGTGAAGTCGTTTTAAGTGTTTTTAGTCACTAGCGCCAGTCCGTTGCCTTTTGAGACATTTTGAGATAGAGCAGCAGTTATGCTCTTGAGACTTTTAAAATGGGCAGCAGTTATGCCCTTGAGAATCGTGGTGAAGAGCCACCACGATAAGTTTAAGATGTTAGGGGGATGAATCGTTACGACTTCCCTAACTAAGTTTAAGTATAAGGAAAGCCTGAATGGCTTCTCATACGTATGAGTTGGCAACCGGACTAGCTAGTGAGGGATCCCCGTGTCAGTCAAGAATTTAAGTGGAGATTTGAGTTTTAAGAGTACAGATTCAAGAGTCAAGATTTTTTAATAGTGGAGGTACAAAACAACTTCCACTAAGTTAAGTTAAGTGATCAAGTATTAATAAGATGATAAACGTAAGGGCGTAGACTGACCCCAACTCACTCACCAGTTTGAAGAGGAAGGAGCTAGAGGAGCGGTTAGAGAGCAGCGAGTTCGAGAGGAGAAGTTCTAGGGCAGCCAGCTAGAGGAGGGCAGTGCAAGCGTCACGGAGGATGCCTAGTTAAGATTTTCAGTAGCAGCAACGACATAGACTACCCAGTTATTTACATCTTATGATTATGAGTATAGCCTGGAGTTCAAATTGAGATTTAAAGTTTTTGAATTTGCCCACGTGTTAGGGCTTTGTTTTGAACTACAAGTGTGTGTTTTCAGTATTTTTATTTATGAAAATTTTTCCCACTGCAATTTAAGATTTGAGTATTTTATTTATCAAGGGCATTTTAGTAAAAGTAGTACCCGACCGGGTTAGCGTGTTTCAACATCTCCATAGAACATATTGATATTCCCAGTATGTTCTTAACTGGTAAAGGATGCATGAAAGTATGCCCTCAACGTACTTTTTCTAAAGGAAAACTCCTTTAGGAATATTGTTTTGAAGACAGGAATTAAAAGGAAATGAAAATCTATAGATTTTAGTTTTTTTAGAATAAAATCTGTAGTATTTAAAGCAAAGACATGCTTGGAAACAAATTAAACTTCATCTAATTTAAGTTGAGAATTATGGTGTATCCAAAATCATGAAAATATTGGATAGTCTTTGTAAATATATAAACCTCAAAATGAGTTTTAAACCCGCATTACTAGGAGAAATTAGATTTGAGCATTTTTCAATATACAATAAACACAACGAAGAGCAGTATGACCAAGATTTGTCTGACATTTTGGTTTGTCCTCATCCTTCTTGTCTCAGGTTTGTTTTATTCATATACGTGACAATATATATCGGGCTGATAGCACAATTTGTTTTCATACTACGAATTTATCTTAGTAATTATTTAGTTTTTTGTTATTAAATTTAACTTTTTTTGACAGCAGGCTGATAGCACAATTTGTTTCAGACTACAGCACAATTTGTTTTCATATACGAATTTCTCTTAGTACTTATTTAGTTTTTTGCAAGGTTGTCAACCCGCGGGTCGACCCGTGAGTTGACCCACTTTGACCCTGATCCGGTGAGAAAAACGGGCCGCACGCACCCACCGGGTTAACCGCTACAAGGTACCGGGTTGGAGGTCAAATTGTCTCATTTTTTTCTTTGTTTTGCGAAATGCGCCTATTTTCCGGTTTTTATTTTCGCCTAACTTAATCTTTGGAATCCTAAGTTGAACATTTGAATATTAATGTTATATAAGTGTGTGTGATTTTTCACTATATGTTGAATCTAAGTACAACATGTTATTTTGGTGTAATATTATATGTTATAACTCATATGTTAGATGAGATTTGATATAATTTATCAAGATAAGTACAATATAGTGACGCTTTCCATATTTCCGGGCTAAACCGGGCTAAAACGAGTGACCCATTAACCCTCAACCCACTAGCTCAACCGGGTCCGGGTCAACCCGCAGATTGACAACCTTGATTTTTTGTTATTAAATTTAACTTTTTTTGATAGCCTTTTCACTAAATAATTCTCAGGTGGAAGAATAATGTCGGTTAAGAAAGCGGGAGCTGACAAAACTTGTGGCAACCAATTGTACGGTACAGGATGCACGCCGGACGATTGCTACCAGAAATGTGTGGACTACGGCGGCGCCGGCCATATCGGGATATGCATCCCCCAGCAAGATTCCTCCGACTTTCCTTGTTTTTGCCTTTATCAGTGTTGATTTTCATTCAGATTGGGGGATTATTGTTACTAGCTAGGGCTGGTTATTTGGTCCAGGTTTTTTGGTTTTACCCGAAATCGTATAATTTGGATCGAGATCGGATCGGGATCAAATAGTAACCAATCTAATCTTTGAGCTTAGATTTGAGATAAAAAATCATTCGGGACCGGATCAAAAACTGGATAAGAGAGCTCAACACACAAAACTTAAGGGTAATTTCCATAAGCGGTCACAAACCTTTGCACTTAGTACAAAACTTAATCAACTCCTCACACTTTCAGACCTTAGGCAACTCAAATCCCCACAAGCTCAATATAAAATCAAGATCGAATTGGTACCGGACCGGGTCAAGACCAGACTGTATCCAATCCAATCTTTGATTCTTATATTTTCGAAAAGACCGGACTGGAACCAGATCAATTTTAGCCAATTTAACCGGACCGTACCCCTATTACTAGCACAACCATATGAATTTCATGATTTGTTATGTAAGCTATTTATGCGATTGCATAACGGTCGTTAATATGAAGGGTAAAGAAATGAAACACTTCCATTTAGCCAATAAAGCTGCGGCGCCATTTGCTGTTGAGCTTCCTTTCCCAGTTGCGTCATTTCCCTATAACACCCAGAAACAAAAGTCACAAACCCACATGGAGAATCGTCATTGTTTATGAACAGCATCTAAAAACTGCCATTCTTTCCCCTTATGAACAGTTGATGAAGAGAGAATCACTTTTGAAGTTGAGGAGTTCGTGCACAACTCAGGCTGTCGGACGATGTAGATTTGATCCCCGAGCTTGTCATCCTTGTAGTTGTCCTGGTTTCTGTGCCACGTCCACAATGCATATGTAGAATTCACAACCTGAGGGAATTCATGGCATTCAGAGAAAACGTTGCCGATCAAGTATGTTTTCAGTTGAAGGTCCAGACTAAGCAGTATGTGTGGTACCTCAAGGATTCCATGGCCAAAGCTGCTTTCTCTTAATGCACTCCATTCTGGTTGGCTGTCCCAGCAGAATTTCCCCTTGGCAGGACCTGAAGTGAAGTTCAAGTGACAGACGCCTCCGAATTCTGGTTTATTATCTCCAGGGGAGGGACATTTTCCAGGGTCATCTGCATGATCAACGTCTACTTGCTCAATGTTCCCACCATCTCCAACTGTTATGTAGACCGGGCCGCAAGAGTCCAATGTATAGTTGTAGACCCTGTTTATTCGTTCATAAGCATGCACCTGCAGCATATGAATTTGATATTGCTATTGGGAACACTGAAGAGAGGCTTGTTGCACCATCCCCGGTCAACTCAATTACTTGTAAACTTGAAACAGAACTTTCTGAACTGAAAGTATAGACGAGTAACAACTGACATGACCATTAAAAACGATGTCTACGCGGTACTGATACAGAAGTGCTTCCATTTCCTGCCTCATGCACTCGAATTCCTGGTAATGGGAGTTATAGCTGTTGTACCAAGGTGGATGCCAAGCAGCAACTAGCCATGGTGTATTGCTCCGGTTTACTTGGTTCAAGTCTCTCTGCAACCAAGTGTATTGAGCACCTAGAGATCGAGGTAGTCAGGAGTTTTCAGTCCCACAATTATTGTACATCAAAATATTGCCAAAATAAGCTAAGAACCTAAGTATTGTTTTAGTGCAGTACGAAGATTTTACCAGTACTATTGTAATCAACATAAGCCCCCAGCATTATGAAATGTATGCCTCCAGCTTCAAATGAGTAGTAAAAGTTGCTGTTAGAGCCAGATTCCTCTGATGGAACTGCAAATCTGGTCAAGTATGATTTGAAGGTAATGCCAGCAACTTGAGGTTCAATCTCATGGTTTCCTTCGATTACCATCATGGGAATTCTTGAAGTCAGTGGCTCCATGAACCTGAAAGTTCGATAAAAAACCCATGGAAATGCAGCAAGAGATGTTAAGACTACATGCCTCATCATGCTTCAGTTAAAATCACCAATACGATACCTTCCCCAGCCATCCCAGCGAGGCTGATAAGTCTCCCTAATAGGTGCATCAGGGAATGCACACGAGTAGCACGAAGCTCCTTTCCCTCCGGTGGTTAGATACTGATTAGCGTAAGTCAAATCTCCAACCATTAAAATCAGTGATGGATCATTCCTCGTCAAATGATCTATGGTCGATGATGAATTGCTTGTGAGGCCAAGATCTCCAATGACTGCGATTCGAGCAGGATATGAAGTTGAACCAGGCAATGGCATGGTCTGAAGGACTAGCTCATCACTCATAGCTGGCATGGAGCTATCTCCACATTTATAGAAATACTTTGTCCCCGGTTCAAGACCTGCTCGTAAGGAACAAGTTCTATTCAAAATGCAGAAAATGAAGCTCCTAATGCTCAACTTCCATACGCATTAAACAAAGATTCACAAGTCTCAAGCTTCCCTGCTGAAGCATAATGCAGAATGACAAATGATGCAGCAATACAAGAATTCAAACTAGGCAGTGGTCCACAACCCAGTTACAGGAAAGACCTCAATTTACCATCGATTCTAACATGGTGGATGATGCCTGAGGTGTAATTTGAAAGTCCCTCAAACGGATACAACTGACTGTAGACGCTGGAATTCCCTCTTACTTTGTCCGTATATTTCCCGCTCTCCTTTCCGTACCAAACCTCACTCCCCACAGAAGCCGGATCCAGAGGAATCACATTCGAACCAATCTGCGCATCCCCTAAAACCCAAATGAAAAGAAAGCAAAGCAAACTCCTGTTCAGTTCTCCTGCTCTGCCAAACTCATCCACTACTACAAACCAAACCCAGGAGAGATGGGGAAAAGTTACCGGTGACCCAAGAAACCCACATTGAAGTTGGGGAAGAAGAAAGAGCAAGAGCAATCTGCTGGGGGAAATTCCCGCTGACATTCTTCTTCAACCTCGGGTGATCCATCGGCAAGTCGGCGCTGCCTCTGCGCAACGAAGGATCGAAGCTGCGAGTCGAGGGCTTAAAGGGCCCATCGAGAGTTGTTGGTATCAGAGCCTGGCAGACCACGATTTCTGCAATGATCAGGAAAATGGCGGCCGCGCCCCGCCATCGACTGGGAAGGAGGACATCCATTCTGAATCCTCAGCTTCCGTCGCGCGAGTTAAATGGCAGAGAAATCTTTGAGCCCGCTTGAAGTGACCTTTAAGCTGTCGATTAGGAGATCCATGATTGGGAAATGGGAAAGGATGTGTTTGTGGAATATGCTGGGGATTTGTTTCGAGCTCCCGCCATTAGATAATGGTGGATTAATTAACATGGTGGTCACTAAAATTACTAAAAAGTTCACTTTTAGTGATTAAAAATATTTAATTCCGTTTGTAGTCACTAACATTATTTAAACGGTTCAATTTCGGTCACTCTCCGTCCAACTCCGTTAACTTTGGCTGATGTGGCAGTCAACTTTTAAAGTTGACCGTTAAATCTGTGACGTGGCAAATAAAAAATTATAAAAACATAAAATTTAATTTTTTCCATTTCCACCTCATACAAAAATAAATTAAAACAAGTAAAAATATAAAATAATTATATTTAAATTTTAATCATTCCCTCAACCAACCTGGAATTGAAAGTTGGAAACTCCAAAACTCTTTTCAAACTAATCCCAAACATTTCAATCTTCACCTGCAATCAAAAGTCTTCACCTTCCCTCAACCCCGACCGCCGTCACTATTTCCTCCCGATCAACCGTCGCGCTCCCATCATCGTCGATCATCGCTGAATCTTCATCTTCCCACCCTTCGACCAACTAGCCGCCATCTACAGTCCAATCCCAATTGTCATCGATTTAGGGTTCACAGGTAGGAGCACTCTCTTTTAATCAGCTCCTCTGGACGACCATATGTTGATTCGCCAAATGAATAACTCCAGGGATAGGGATGGATGAGATGCAGAGTATTTTGAAGCATTGGAGCGGGTGAAGGGGCCCACAGCACCGACAACACCTGGAGGAAGCGCAAGGAGAAGAGACGGAGGCGGATGGATAGCGCAAAAGATGTAGGCGAACAAATCTGAAAATCTTTTTTCCTTTTCTCTATCTGCTGTCCCCAACGATGCGATATCCCTCCCCTCTTCTCCTTCCACGGCGAATCGAGCAGCAAGGAGCAATGGGACGGTAGTGGTTTGGTGGTGCAACTCTGACGATGATCGACGATGGCCTAGCGATTCGACGGTCCGACGACAAGGCTGGTGAGGCGGTTGTCTGTTGGCGGCGATGATGGGAGCGCGACGGTTGGCCGAGAGGAAATAGTGACGGTGGTCGGGGTTGAGGGAAGGTTAAGACTTTTGATTGCAGGTGAAGATTGATTGGTTTGGGATTAGTTTGAGAAGGGTTTTGGAGTTTCCAACTTTCAATTGCAGGTTGGTTGAGGGAATGATTAAAATTTAAATATAATTATTTTATATGTTATACTTGTTTTAATTTATTTTTGTATAAGGTGGAAATGGTAAAAATTAAATTAAATTTTTTTAAAATTTATTATTTGCCACGTCACAGATTTAACGGTCAACTTTGAAAGTTGACTGCCACATCAGCCAAAGTTAACGAAGTTGGACGGAGAGGGACCGATATTGAACCGTTTAACTAATCTTAGTGACTACGAACGGAATTAAATATTTTTAATGACTCAACGTAAACTTTTTTTAGTAATCTCAGTGACCAACCATGCAATTAACCCGATAATGGTGATATTAGTTCAGGTTTGACTTGTTGAGCTAGGGATGTAGGATTTTTCCTATTATGATAATGCATTAGGCCATTAATCCGTCGTTTAGGCGCTTGTACTATCCAATAACTAATGGGCGAAATTTGGCTGCATCCTGAGTTGCAGCCCGTTGCTGCTGCCAGCCCACGTGGCACCAGATGATTGGGGACAAATTAATTGTGTAATTGCCAACCAAAATAGGAGGAAGCACGGAACGGAACGGAAGTGGGAGATTTATTTACCGTTATCTCCTTCTCTTTCTCTCAATTGGAACGCAAAGTTAATATAGGTTGCCTCAATTTTTTCACTTCATTTTTAGATTTAGTTCTTTATTATTTCCCATAAAAAGTGATAACTTTGGATACTACATTTGATGCTTTAGGAACATAATTATAAATACATTAACTCTAGTGTAATTAAAAAATCGTTCAAAATGCGGATCTCAAAAAATCGTTCAAAATGAATTTATCAATTAAAATATGTTTTGTGTGTTACTTTTCATTAATGAATACACATTCATAATGACTTACGTCACAGTTAAATTGAAAGTGCTACATAATATTTTTGTAATGACTTAGTTTTGATTAAAGTAAGGTTAATACTCATTACTAAAATGGATCTTTCATTCCGTAAGCCTTCCGTAATGACATTTTACAACTGTTACGTAAAATCCACATCCATTACGTAAAAATTATGAACCATAGTTAATTAGTTATTTCTTGGAAGCATTATGTAAGGTTTCTGTAATGATTTAACACTTTACATAATACAAGATAAATACTCATTACGTAAAAGGACATTCCATTATTTAAAGGTTACGAACGACAATTATTTAACCATTATGTAAAATAACCGTTTACGAATTATCTTTTACAACTATTACATAAAATTATCATATGTAACTTAACCATCATAGTTAGTAAATACTCCGTTTAATACACGCATATGTACCCGTATGTATTTTATCCATTTAAAACTTCTGTACCCGTATTATTGTCAAGCTATTTCATTTTTATCCGTTCATTTGATGACTCCCGTACTAAACACGTATAAAACCCATATAACACGTTTATTATCCATATTTTATGAATTAAATTGTTAACTTTACTATTATTTATATATTTATTTATTTTTATATATTTATGACTATTAACGTACTATTAAACATAACTTTAGTTTAGAGAAAAAGTATAATACCTGTACATATTTTATACGTAACTTTCCTGTATCGTATTTTACTAACTATGTTAACCACTACATAATGCCTCTTGTATTTTACATAAATACGATTTGTAAAACCTGCTATAATTGCATGGTTGGTCACTGAGATTACAAAAAAACGTTTAAGTTTGGTCACTTGAAATATTTAAATCCATTAATGGTACTTCAGTTCACTGAAATCGTTCACGTTTGGTCACTCTGCGTCCAACTCCATTAACTTTCGTTGATGTTGCAGTCAACTCTCAAAGTTGACCGTAAACTTAGTGACGTGACAATTAAAAAATAATAAATAAAATAAAATTTAATCCATTTTAATGTCCAACTCTTTTTTTTGTCAAAAGATATCATGTATTGATCAAAAAAAGATAATTACACCCTGGAAACCAGCCAGGACAGGAAATAAAAAAAGCGACTCATAGTCGAAAACAAAGAAAGGGCTTTCCTAGCTACCAAATGATCTACCCTATTGTTCTCCCGACCTACAAAGCGCACACTAAAACCAGATTGAGTACGAAAGTAATGAACAATCTCTTCCAGAACAGCACCCAACCTGCTATCTCTCGTATCGGCTTGAATAATTTTGTCAATAACCACCTTCGCATCGCCCTCAAAGCGGACCTCCGACAAGCATTGCTCCAAACACCAAATAATAGCTTCCCTAAGCACAAGCAATTCCACCATCCCTAGGTCATCCAAATGAGAAAACTGGACCCCTCTAGCCAGCAGAATCCTCCTTTCTGGGTCAAAGAGAACCATCCCACCAGCCGAGTGCGATCCACACCTAGTAGCCCCGTCCCACATGCAAACCAAATGGGAACCAGCCACCTGCATTGTAGGTTGCAACACTGGGGTACTTATTGGCGGAGTTCGATCCACAGGGAGACCCACCCATTCCTCATACTGTTGGTGAAACTGTCGCATGAGAGCTGGGAACCCAAATTGTTTGCCCTCAAAGACAACCCAATTCCGAGATCGCCAGATCCTCCAAAGGATTGCAACAATAGCCATAACCACCGACGGTTGATGAATTAGCGCCAACAAACGGTTTAGAAACAAAGGAAAAGTGTGTCGAGGCAATCCCTCCCCCAAATATTCCAGCCCTGAATAGTCCTAGAGGGCCCGCGCAACCGGACAGGAAAGTAAGAGGTGTTCCATTGTCTCCGGGCCATCCCATCAAACTGGGCACCTAGGGGGAACCTGAACCTTTTTCTCAATAAGCGCCTCCATAGTTGGGAGAGCCCGATTAAGGATTTGCCATACAAAGACCTTCAACTTCGGAGGGATCTTAGCTTCCCACACCCTTATCCAACTGGGTTTATCCATCCAGCTTACGGATGACCGCCACCCGCCCCTCCTCCTATCCAGATCGACAGCCAAATGATAAGCCGACTTTACCGAGAAAACCCCGTCAGCTATAAAATGCCAGATAAGCTTATCCGCCACATCCCTTCTAGGAAGAGGAATGGTTGTGATAGCCCTACAGGTGAGCGGGTCAAACCACTGACGGAGTTTTTCATCAGACCACCTCCCTTCCCCTTGACAAATAAGCTCAGCCACCAAAGGATCCCCCCCCCCCCCCTCAGGCAAAATTCGCAGATTATAGCATGGGGGGTCCAGTTGGTACCTGGGAATCCAGTTAGAGTGAAGGAGAGAGACCGACTGGCCATTTCCAACTTGCCATCTTAATCCCCTCTCCAATAACTACCGCCCATGAAGGATACTTTGCCACCCCCAAGAGGGACGGGACCTCGCAGTCGCAGTCAGGAAAGACCCATGGGGGAAATACTTGCCTTTATAAATCTTGGCAATAAGCGATTGAGGATCACTAAGAATACGCCAGCAATCTTTGCCAGCAGAGCCTGATTAAAATGCTCAAACTGGCGAAATCCCATCCCTCCATCATGCTTACTCCTGCACATGTTTCGCCAGGATATCCATCTAATCTTGGGACTACCCTCCTCAGCACCCCACCAAAAGCGGGCCACATGCTTATCAAGAAGACGACAAAGGGCTAGGGGAAGGCGGAAGCATGACATAACATGAAGGGGAAGAGCCATTGCTATGGATTTAATCAAAACCTCCTTCGCAGCCCACGACAATGTCCTTCGCTTCCACCCCTGAAGGCGCTCCAGAAGTTTCTTCTCCAAATATCTGAATGTAGCCAACTTGGAGCGAGCAACCAGCGTGGGAAGCCCCAGATACTTATCTTGGACCCCCACTGCACCCACCCCGAGGATCG